TTTTTTTTTCCTGTCTGGTCTCATCGGAAGCAACGTGCCAGAACGACCTCGAACGCCAGTGGAAGGCACAACAACGCCGTCGTTCAAAATGCATTACTCTCAGTATGCATATGCTGATTTAAAGCTCCAATAAACTGGCGTACTGCTCGAACTTCGTTCAACAGCTTCTTCTGCCAGATCTGTACGGTACAAGAACCATCTCGGTGGTTCTGTCTCTCGGTGGCAACACTGTTGATACAAGGCCAAAATGAGCGCGGCATGTTGAAGTTTAATGGCCTTCACGGAAACATCTACACTCCCTGTGGCAGAAATCCATGTTCGTTCATGCATTTACGGACAGGATATCATGAAACCTGTGAACTTGGCAAGTCCAATGAGCACCCAATTCTTCGAAAATGGGTCATTTTTCACACATCTCTTGTCTTTCGGGAAATAGGGTTTGTGTGCAACAACCCCGGCCAGCCTTTCCCGCCATACAAACTCGAAGTGACTCGTCCGCAATACAAACGCTCCAGCCGGTTCCTCCCCTGGCCGCCGGCGCGCTGGCGCTCAGTTTCCGACTCGAGCAAGTGCGGCTCGAGCGACTTCGTAGGACCGACACAGGGGCCGAGAAAGCTTCCTCCTCCCCGCCACTTTCCGCCGCAATTTCGGCTGGAAAGTATCAACAGGCAACTGCTGCAACAGGCAACTAAAAAGCAACTTACAGGTTTTCGTTTCACGTCCGCTCAGTGGATCCGCCCGTCCGTCGGAATGGTCAATTACGGGTCTTTATACCGACCGCGGCATCGACAGCACAAGGCGGCGTCCACATCATCGCGTCCCAGTGAAACACCCTCCACCGCGTCGTCCACGAATACGCAGGACACGCAGCAATGGGCGAGCAGCAGCGGCCGCTCCAACTTCAGCACCGCCGGCACCGCAGATAGCGTCACGCCCGACGCGTATTTGAACTTCAATGACCAGCAGCAGGACGCGCTACTGCTGGATGCGCGCGCCAACGCCGCCGCGCTGCTAGTGGACGCAGTGGCGGACGCGGATAAGTGGCAGTTCGTCACAGCGCGCGGCTCGCTCAACATCTACGAGCTACGCGCGGACTCAATGGAGCGCGTGTCCAGCATGATGCCCGCCGACCCGGCACAGCTGCAGCACAATATGCACACGATGCTGGCCACGACTCGCGTACGAGCCACACTCGACGACTTCATGCGCCTCATGGCGTCCCCCAAGCGCGACACGTACCAGAACGTCCAGGCGGCGCTGTTTGAGGAGCGCGTGCAGATGGCCGACGTGTTCACCAGCTTCGGCAGCCTCCCGAGCGGACGCGTCGGTCGCAGCTCGTCCACGTCGTCGTCGGTCAGTTCCAGTTCGCGCTCGCAGAGCGGAGCGGAGACGGAGCAGTACGCAGTGAAGTACGTGTCCATCAAGGGACGCGGGCCACGCAGCAACTCCGGCGCGGCACTGAACGCCAGCTCGGCGTCCAATTCACTGAAATTCGGCGGTAAGAACCGACACCGCGAACGACAGGCGGCGCGACTGCACAGTAGCAAGAAACACAAAGGCGTCGAGAGCGCGCAGGAGCTAGGACTAACCATGTGCCTGGCCGAGTACGCGACCATCCGTCGCGCGCAGATCCGCGGGCCCATGGCGCACAACCAGGCGCAGGACTTTGAGGACCAACGGGTGGGGATCATCTCGCACCACTCGATCGAAGACCCAGCGGTCACGAGATACTGCAAACCGATCGTGACGTCGTCCCATGCAAAGGCCAAGGCGTCGTCGCCTCAACCGGCCAACTTTGTGATGACGGCGCGAGCGCTGGTGCAGTTCTCGGGTATTGTCGTGTACCCCATAGCGTCGTCCATCGCGGGTGACAACGTACTAGAAGTGCTGATCAAGTTTAGCTGTTATGACGCCAATGGCGTGACGACGACGCGACGGATGAACATGTTGTCGTACTTGACGGCGTTCCAGCAGCTGAACACGGCGCTGCTGGTCATGCGGCTGCGTGAGTCTCCGTACTTGACGTCCGAGAACTGGGTCAAGTCTAGGAAGAGCTGCTGTGTGTGTCAAGGCAAGTTCTCCATGTCGCGGAGGAAACACCACTGTCGTCTGTGCGGTGACGTCGCGTGCTCCAAGTGTTCGGAGATCCACCAGATCAAACTGGGCAAAGCTGGGAAATGTCCGTTCCGGATCTGTATCAACTGCGAGCACGGCATGGACGACAACCAGCGACAGAGCAGAGGCCAGATCGCAGCCGGAGCCGCGCAGCCACCCAGGACGCCCGTGAACGGCATCAACGCGCTTCGTCGTCGTCTTGGCAGTGGCAACGCAACGCCCCG